ATTCTCAAATTTTCTGTTCATTGTTCCGTATATTGTGAATGTAACTCGAACTTGCACGATTGAATAGAGAATGTGGTCTCATTCAAATGGCAAAAAGAAATGAAATATTTAACTAGTTAAAACTAAATTTATACTATAAATCACATGTAGTAACAATAATAATATAATTATAGAACTAGCTCAGTAAATTACTAAATTTAATTCTAACTATTAAATATGTATATATGTTTTTATTTTCAGATTGTATGTTTGATTCTCGTCAAAACTTACTACCAGGACTTGACCAATATTAATACTAATACGAATGCCTCTCCAGAAGCCCCTTGATATTTGACAAATGATTACAAATTGTGATATATTAGTAATTTATATATACACACACACATGATTTATTCATAAGATGTATATTTTCTAAATAAATCACAAGTATTTAATGTAATTTTGAAATCTTTTAAAATAATTTATTAAAAAAATATTTCAAATTAAATTAAATACTTGCAATTTATTCAGCACTTTTAATTAATTAATATTCTATACAACTTGTACTAATATTTTTGTTATTATTAAAGATATTTAAACGAAATCTCAGTCACGACATCTCTTTTGTGAAACAGATTTAAGTTTTTATTTTTTAAATAATTGCAATACAATTTCAATAAATAAGTGTTAATGTATATTTTCTGACAGTATTATGTATGAATGTACAGTATTATATTGCTTTTTGTAATCAAGAATAAGCGTATCCCTTTAAGTTATAAGCGAAAAGATATACTGTATATAACAATTGGGTTTTTTTCGTCGTATAAGCATTTTGTAGAAGTTTTGTTAAAGTTATGTAGAAGTATTATAAAACTAAATATATTAGATTATAAATTTGAGATTATTGTAATACAATTTAAATAATCTAAGAATGTGAGCCCTTAATATGGAATATAAGACTATAGGTTTGAAATGATTAGTTACAGTCCCGTGCAGATTTTAATTTTGGAAGATTTGATTAGTTTATACACAAGATAGAATATTTTATTAAATAGCAGATTTAAAATTGTAAACAAAGAGATGCAAATGGAACACCTAACTCATATCCACTAACGAAATTTTTCCATCTACTGTATATATATGTTCGCGATATAACGTTGGTCTAAAGTAGTGACCATACCCTACTGTTTCCAGCCGCGCATGCAAACTGCAACCGTAATGGCTGTTCCCGATACTATTAAATTTCCTTCCGGATTCTTACTTGGATGCAACCGCAATTAAAAACATAAAGTTTGTTCAGGCACAGATTGTAATCGAGCACCCAATCGACAAGTGTTTTTGTGCTACGTCATACGGTAGCAATTGGAAAAGTGGCATTCATCATGGCATTAAGTTGGGACGTTGCTTTGGAGTCCAAATTCATCGAACTGATTCAGTATCACATGCCTTGCATTTCCCTTAATAACAAATTTCAGAAATTTTCGGCAAAAGGCACAGGAGTTAAGTTTTTAAAATGCGTGAACACAATCTTGTTCCCACACACTAACATACACTAATGTGAAACCACCGGAAGGGGGTAGGTCTCCCAATCCGGCAACAGGTTGTTAAACCCTTTCACTGTCAGGATGGGTGGTTGAAGGGTTCTTTTTCCCGTTGTAACGGGTCGAGTGGTGGAGGGAGGAGCGCGTCGGTGAGACGACAGGCGATATACGAGTAAACGAGGAGGCCAGATATAACATAAGAAAAAGTAACAATTTATTAAACCAAGTAATACAACGTATAGTTCGCGTCCCTAAAACGCGGGGAGACCGAGAGAGAGCTTACAATAATTGGTTCCATACCTCTTGATCTGTTATCCACGCTACTCTTTGAATTAGGAAAATTTCTCTTCTAGGAAAGTTCACTGATGTAGGAAAGGTCACTGTTTAACTATTTGAATCCTGGATTTAGGGAAGTTCACTAGACAAAAAGGACACTATTTGAAATTGGTCTTCTTCCGGCACCTGCTCCGGTACGACTCCCCCGAGAAGGGGAAGGAAGGGGTTTTTATAAGTTCGGCGTGGGAGAATGGTCACGTGATTGATTGTTGTGAGGTAAAAGGTATGTAGATGGGTCAGAGTTGTTCCCGGGACCATGCTAACTATCAACTTTGGCGTTGGAATGTGGGATTAGTTTCGAATTGAACGGATGTTTATGTCGAATGTAAACGAAAAGTTTTTTTTTCGTTAGGTTCCACTATAAGTTAAAAGAAAATTTAATTAGATTTTAAGCAAATACGGGACAATTAATCGACAGATAGTCGGCAAAAATTCCGGATTTCACATTCACATCAATACATACAGAAAAACTTCCGAATTTTTGTTTTCTTTTTTCTTTTTCTTTTTTTTTTTTCATCTCTCGGCGTTTCAGGGTATCCTGAGTCAAAAAATGTAAAAATCTTGATGGTCGTTTCTTGACCGATTAAGGCTGTCCGTAAATTAAGTCCGCATTTTTCTTGAAATTTTTACCCCCCTCCTCCATTGTTCCAGTTTGTCCATGTTTCCGTGACCCCCTCCTCTCTTTGGATGTCCAACAAAACTCGACACACCTTAAACCTTTATCACTTTAAGACTGATAGATACCATAGGTAGAAACAAAACATACAAGAAATTCTGAAATAAATATAATAAAATGCATAAAGCGTATAAAATTTAATGAAATAAACGGACGTTCACTGAAGCTCAACCCTTCCCCTCTCCTTGTCCGACTTGACGTAATCCCCTGCCTCCATCTTTCCTCCGTTTCAGTGTTGACATCATTTGTGGACATCCTCTTGTTTTGTATATCCACATAAAACCCAGCAATGACAATTCTTCTTATTGTCGCTGACTGGTCTTCAATATTTACACAGATCTATCCTGATGCGCCGGGTAGAGCGTGCCTCTTTAACCGTTTGTTTTTTGAACAAATGAAATGGAATGTTTTTTTTATTAATAAAAAGCAGTCTTAAAAGTATTACTTTATGTTAGTCAAAATAACCACGCTAACGGATTCTTTGTTTTTTCCCGTAACTCGTACTTAACATAGAAATCGCTATGCAGTCTTTAAAATATAGTACAGTACCTGAAAATTTTGCAAAATTTTCGATTAACCTTATACCCAAATTAATCATCGTTCGTTTCTATATTTAAAAGAATTTTTCCCCATTGTAAATACCACGTACAATAAACAGATCATTCTCGGAATTTTTATATATAAATTAAAATATTTTTGTTTTGAAGAAATTAAGTTTTTTAGGTAAATCTACATCAAGTACCCCTCCTCAATTGTACATGTATTCTTCATTTACTGTAGGAACAATGTAAGATTATGTACAGAGCAGTATCTGTTAGCAATGTTGTAATGCCTAACTGCATTGTCTCGAGTTTTCTTTTTCCTACTTGAGCTAAAATTGTAGACATAATTAACGATTCAGATAAGTTTGTTACTATTAATTTTGTCATGATTGCGCCTGAAGTACTGTACCTGATGTGTACAGTACTCGTTTCTATTCCTACATTTTGTAGAACTGTATAAAATAAAAATATGAGGAGGGGAGATTATTCGGGACAAAAATATTGAGGAATGTATTCCCTCTGTCCTATATCTATCCTATGCCCACAACTGAATCTCCAAAACTGAGGGAAAGCATATGGACAAAAGTTGCGGCCTATAAACCGGCCTAAACAGTTACGTGGATTATTCTATTTGTTTAATATCCATTAAATTATTTATAAACAATTTTCTCGTCTTAAAATAATAATTAATGAAAAAAGTAACACGAAAAATGGAAATATTAAATTATCCGGAAATTGTTTGATTGCCATGCAAAAATTGTAAATAATGGTGTAGGAAAAGGAATCGGAACATTTTTCTTGACATCATCTTCGGGGTATCATACACTAAAATATGGGGTACTGCAGAAATATGAGGAGGATTAGTTGGACTGAAATTACAAATGAAGATGTTTTATCAAGATTAGGAATTTTAAAAAACTCTTCTAAAAAACAAACCTAATGAAAAGGAAGCTAATCTTTTCCAGAGATATTATTATCAGAGAAAGTTCAGGCTGGTTAATGAAGGTTATAATCCGGGAAAAAAAGAAAGAAAAGAAACGATCAAGATTAAGTTGGAAAGATAATGTAAGAAAGTGACCAGAAGTCGCAAATTTGGAAATCTAGAAACAAAGTTTTGCAATTCGTCTTCTCTTTTCATTTCGACTCGTTCTGCCTTGTGGATCCTCCCAAGAAAGAATTTTAAATCATACTAATAATTAATTCGGCCAGGTTACAACGGAGCGGCTGGGTAGTGAGAGACGGTTCCGACATATCCGGGATAGACCCCCGTGAAAATTTTCTAGGTTATCTCTTCCAGATTTTATTCTGGGTCCACCAGATTCATTACTGATCCAGAAGTACTCAAAGACTGGCTAATACAAACATTTTAAATCTAAATTAGCACAAAGTTGCTGTTGAGAACAAATCACACAGGAACACTCCTAAAAATTATTATAGTGACAGCTGGAATAACTAAGTATTAAAACCGTGGGTAAAGTAAGTAAAACTATAGAAATAAAATTACTTTTGTTAAAACGTATGAAACCATGGGCTAAGTACAANATTTGCTTAAATAATTAGATCTATGCATTTTTTCTCTTTCTCTAAAATATGCATATTTTTACGACGATGTAGAATTTGACAAAATGAAATGTTAAAATGTTAAAAATTCGAATAACAATGAATGCTTTTACACCTTATTTTTAACCAGTTTTAATTGGTTTTAAGGTTTTCATGTTTATTACCTATTTTAGTTAAAAATAGTTTTGCTTGGATGTCAATCAACCAAGCAAACTATCGAACCGAACGTCAATTACCAAAAAACAAGAAGGAAAAAATAAATAAATTATGCTAAATTTTCGATTTTAGATCCTAGACGTATAAAAACTTCCCATTTATTTAATGTTGTTAGTCATCATTCCTTCCTCATTTACTTTAGACGTTTATTAATAGTAATAACTTTTGACCTTCGTCACCGACATTTTTTATCGCAACGACTTGCACAATAGGAAGTGTTCATTGAATGTCAATGCTTAAAGTCATTTGACATTTTATAGGAACGCTTTAAAGTATATTTTTATTTTGACATGGGCTGCCAAATGAATCGCTGTTGTTGCTTCAATAACACTCAAGATGCATCTTTTGCTGTGGGAGTGTACACTGCGGTACGTAATAAATTTTATTATTTTATTTATAATAATTTATATGAAATATGCCTACAATTACAAGTTCAAAGTTTACACATTTTATATCAAATTTCATATGCAAATTAGTCAATACAGGTATTTCTTGCTTAACACAGTTTTGCTTAAAGCAGGATTTTGATTAACACACGAAATTAATTGCAGCAATCCCTTTTTATACGCGGCAGAAATTTTAATCAAGTGATACCTGTATTCTATTATAAGCGACTATAAAGTAATACATTTTAATGAAAGTCAAAGATAATTTGAAATTTTTTAATGTCTATTTCCTAAATTTTAATATTTTTTTTAATTGTGGACAACTTTCTGGGTCGTTTCTGAAATTATCAATATTGAATGGTCGTGGTCTAAATGTACTTTTCAAAGTAAATTTACTAAGCTTAATAATATTAACAGTAACTTCCTAATAGTTCATTTTTTTCACTTTCTGTTAACATGTCTTTCCATTCAATATTAACTAGTGTAAAGCAAATGAATATGACTTTTTGTTTATTTTGTTAAAATGATTTTAATTACAGATCAAAATCATATTTGTAAATAATGATCATCTCGAATTGAATATTCATTCTTTTCAAAAAAATTATTAAACGAGTCGAATTTATGTTTAAGAAATGAGTGATTTATATGTATATATGTAAATTCTGTATGTGTTTATTATATATATATACTAGCTGTGTTACTCGTCGTTGGCGGAAGATATTTATTTGGTGAAATTGTATTTACTTACCTAAAGAGTATATCTGCAGACTGCAGAGAATTGTATTACAGATTTTATTATATTCCTATTAAAGGTGAGGAATATTTTCTAGATAAACTTATTGAGTAAGCTCCCGATATACAACCTTTCGTGTTTCATCATCAGGAGCACAAATGAACAGATTTGCAGCTACTAACTAACACATGAATACGCAACATAGAATTGGCCATGTGAAAAGCAACTGCATCCCAGGTCAAGTCCCACAACTCTCGGGCTTTGGCCTTAAGACTTGTTAATGGTCATTGCAAAGCCTAGACCGACTGGAAGTTGTAGGCGTTTACATTCGAATGGGTAGTTTGTCGGAATTAACGGTATGCTATTAAATGATATATCTGTCCTTCAATTTTGAATGTTGGCATGAAATTTCTTTCAGATATTTCAGTGGCACCAAAATTTGTCATTTGGAAGGCCCTATTGTGTTTTAAAAAATATTTAGTGTTAGGATGAGTCCCATTTAATAGTGACAAATAAAGTTCGGGGGCAAGTACAACATCCAGCCATTAACTTTGTCAGAAGGGCAGTAAATCCCGTGATTCAATCTTCCACTTCGGAACACTTCAATATCTACATACGTTATCTATAGACCCAATATTAGCTGATGATGAATAGTCTAAGAGTGTGTTATAAATGAAAGTCTTTCAGAGTTTTTTTGGCCAAGAATTTGTTGTTTTTGAGTAAGCATAATCTTCGCTCACACAAATAAAAATCACGCAAATACAGCTAGGCTTAACGAATCACGAACACAATACGTAACGATTCGAAAACCTGCAATATGTACGCGTACTGCATCATTTTAATGCCTCGAATATTTTGCTAATTAACTAATTATAATTTAATGTCAATTCTTCAAATATAATAGTTAACTTTAAAAATACACTTTTATTATATATAATGCCTTGACAGGAAGTACTAATTCATGTGTCGCCATGTAGTGAAGAGAGACAAATAGACAGACAGAAATCCGTTGCAATTTTATTTAATTAATAAAAAAATCTGTATGTTTGATTAGTGGTAAACATTCCGAGGATCATAAAGATGCTACAGTTAAAATTTGGTAACAATTGGTTCAGTAGTTTTCGCGGTTAGTTTGAACAAACGAAAAATACGTTGTTTCTTTTAGTAGTATAGATATATAAATTTTTAAATGAAATTTCTGCTTTTATAGACTTAATCTATATACAGTATATGTTACCGCTAAAGCTGGAAAATCGTTAATCTGCAGATTACCTAGCTAATCTGCAGATTACCTAGCTAATCTGCAGATTAACTAGGGTGATACGTTAAAGTTGCTAAAATTGTTCTATTTCTCAAATTACCTAGGTAATGTGCAGATTATCTAGGTAATCTGCAAATTACCTACTAGGCACTCGGTAAAGTGAAAATAAGATCTTTGCTGAAACAACAAAAACGTTTCTGTGCGCTTAAATTAACATAATGTTCTTTATTTAATTTTCGATATCTAAAGAATCAAGTTAATACAATTAAACAATCGACAAATTAGTTGATAGAATCAATCATCAACCAATTAAAAAACATACAAACATCAAACGATTTAAAATATTAATACAATTAGGGAAATTATACAGATAACCACCTATGGAATTTCGGGACTTTGAGTATCTATCTGAACTGAGGGGACCGAGACGACTTCAACGATACCCTACTTTTGGACCGGAGACAAAAAATAATAAAGTTATCATACTTTTTCTGGTGATCGCGTGATATAATTGTGCAGTTAATGTTACCTATGGTGAGTAAAATGGCGGCTCGTCTCTGATTCCAGCAAACAGAAGAAAGGAAACAGTGGGGACGCACGTTCTAACCTAACCTATTCTAATAAATTACCATAATTATTACCAACCAAATTATTAAAATAGGTTAGGTGAGGTTAGGTTTGAACGTACGTCTCCAATGTTTCCTTTCTTCTCTTTGCTGGAATCAAAGACGAGCTGCCATTTTACTCACCATAGGTAACATTATCCAATTGTGCTTACTTATTAGTGCAGTCTAAAGATTGGTGACACTTTGAATTTCATAGCAATTTGCATCTGTTTGTGGTACATTTATGCATTTGTGGCAAAGATCTTATTTTCACTTTACCGAGTGCCTAGTAGGTAATGTGCGGATTACCTAGATACTCTGCACATTATCTAGGTAATTTGAGAAATGGAACAATTTTCACAACTTTAACGGATCACCTTAGTTAATCTGCAGATTAACGATTTTCGAGCTTTAGCGGTAACATATATAAAATTGCTTGTCCTGACTGAGTCATTCACTCACTGATTCATCATCGCCCAGAACCGCTGAACCTAAAGAGGTGAAATTTGGTACACAGTTAGGGTACGTCATGAAAACGCTCACTAAGAAGGGATTTTTCGAAATTCCCCAGCGGGGGGAGAGGGAGAGGATTAAGGCTTAACCGGAAAAACGGCTTCTACTGTACTATTTTAGATGCGATTTTTTGTTTTTAAGTGCGTTTTAGTAGGGTACGCCAAGGGAATGCACACTTAGAAGGGATTTTTCGAAATTCCCCAGCGGGGGGGGGAGAGAGAGAGAGCATTAAGGCTTAACCGGAAGAACGGCTTCTACTGTACTATTTTACATGCGATTTTTTTGTTACGTTTAGTCTTCATTAAGTACTTAAATGTATTAAATTAATAACATTTCAGACATTGTTATAAATATTTTTATATGCTGTATTTCGATTTTTTAACCAAATGTTCGAACCTTTTTAAATTCGAATTTGTTATTGCGTATTGGTTCGATTATAGAACGACTGTAAACGTTCCAGAAAATTGATCAAATTGAAAATAGTTTGTTTGATTCTCAGCAATTCTCATCATTCTCGGTGGTAGGTGTTATATAACAATTACTATGGTTGTTGAAATACTGAATATAAATGGGGTTTGCTTGCAAAACCTCCGCGGGCGAAGTCGCGGGTAACAGCTAGTAATAATAATAATAAGCGCAGAGCCTAAAAGGTTAGGAGTTGAAAGTTGAAATTTGGTACACAGTTAGGGTACATCACGAGAACGCACACTAAGAAGGGATTTTTCAAAATTTCCCCCGCGGGGAGAATCACAGGATTAAGGCTTCAACAATGAAAGCGTTAAGAGAAAGCTACGTGCAAGATTTACAGGCGCAGATGCGGATTTTTGCGTTTTTGCGGGAAATCGAACATATTTTTAGACCCATCTAAAAATTTTCTAATTAGTCTGGAAACAGGGGGACCTAGTTCTTGCATTCTGTGAAAACGGGTAAGATTGGCTGTAACGTAATAATCTCAATCTTCGCTATCGCTACTATTTGCCCGAGCAACACCGGGCTTATCTGCTAGTCTATGATAATTGCTATCACGAATAATTTTTCTTCTTAGTTGTTGCCACGAAGAAAAATAATTTGTGATTATTGTTGTCACAGATTTGATCTAAGATCCTTTGGAGTTCTAATAAAAGTATTATATCCCTGATCTCTTTAATTGTTATTTTCGTTCCTAAATTATTTTTTAACTAAGTTTACCTTTCAGATCTTTTTTTAAAGAATCTTATTTAGTTCAGAAAATTTTATAAGGGCATAATACTTTATTTATAAGGTTCGCTTTGCCTTTTAAGTAGATAATCTTCCTTTATTTGTTGTATTAAAATATATTTCTCATCGGTCGATAAAACAAATCGAGCACTTTTAATAATATACTCAATTTATAGACGTGTTCAGTGATTTTAAAATCAATTTAATATAGTTTAATCTAAACGATGACAAACATTTATTTATTTATGTATTTAATAAGTATGCATAAAATATGGTTTGTAACGTGCTCTTTTCAAAAAATGGTTTTTAATATTTATACATAATATTATATCTATTGCCATCGCTTTTAATTTTCATTTAATGACTATCTCACGGAATATTCTTGTTCTTTTTGGACTTTTCATATTGAGGTCAACACGATAATCATTTAATAATTTATTTACTTTTAGTTATAAACATATATTTCAATAAATGCCATTATTTAAGTTCAGTAAACTTTCCATTTTTATTATAAATAATTGCTTACATTTTTTAATTTTTATGATTACTTTCCCGGCTGTTGGGTAGAGAAAGTACGGCAATCGGTCAATTTTCTGTATGTATGAAGGTTAGTATGAGTGTGGAGGGGAACGGTTTTCTTCACCCACTTTGAAGCTTAATAACTCCTGGGCTTTTTGTTGAAAATTTATGAAATTTTGCAGGAAGGTTTGTATATAAGGGGAATTGATGTTATTAAATTGTGATAGCTAAAGGTCGAGAGGTGGGATGATAGAGGGGGGGTCATCTCTCATATTTCGAATGTGACCGGACTTAATGAAGATTTTACTCGTTATTAACATTTACAATATCTTAAAAAAATTCATCTCTACCCTCAGAAGTAAGCCTTTTCCATCTTATAATCGAGATGGGTTGATAATGATAATAAGCGCAGAGCCGAAACGGTTAGAAGTTGAAAAATTAAATTTGGTACACAGTTAGGGTACGAGAACGTACACTAAGAAGGGATTTTTCGAAGAGAGAGGGTTAAGGATTACCCCGAAGAACTCGGCTTCTACTGTACTATTTTAGATGCCTTTTTTGCATTTATGTGGAAAATCGAACATATTTTTAGACCCTTCTAAAAATTCTCAACGATATTTAGTGTTCCATTGTATATAAAGTAGACTAATCCGCATAAGTTCGCTTTATTCGAACTCTTCGTCTTAATGTTAGAATTTATATTTATGAATGATTCGGGAAGATTCAACTTATTTTTCGAATTAATTAAACCTGAAGAACCCAGAAAGTGTTACGAAAACGTTTATTATTTATCACTTAGTGGTACTAAGTGGTCGCACCGTATTAGTGGTCGCAGTTATTTATCGTTATTCCGGTGTAGTAAGCAGAAATCTAAAAATTTTCTACTTAGTCTCGGAAGAGGGGAACCTAATTCTTGCACTCGGTGAAAACGGATAAGATTGGCTATAATCTAATAATCTTAATCTTTGCTATCGTTACTTTTTGTCCGAGCAACGCCGGGCTCATCTGCTAGTTTTATAATAATTAAGAATATAAAATTTTTAATAAAATATCATAACTGATGGCGCCGCATGCAATTCCAAATGTTGTTGCTGGGAAAGTTACGCACTCAACTCGTTGCTGGATTTTTTGTTATTTTTGTGTTTTATATCTATGTTTTCACATCTATGTTCAGTAAAGAAGAAATTTTCGTAGAGTAATTGCAAATTATACTTTATGCTCTTTTATTTAAATATTTAATTTCTTTTAGTTCTCTCAATGTAAAATTTATTATAATCAACTCTCAGGAGACGATAAATTATATGAATAATACAACAGGAAGAACTGATAAAGCTTAAACTGGACTTGACCAATTTATAGTGAAATATTACCGACTTCCAAGAGTCAAAAGCAACGATGATAAACCCCATTATATGTCCCACATTTTTATTCTTTTATAAAAGTTTATTAATTTACCTTTACAAAATTATGCTGTAAAACATACTTTAGTTATTAATTGCAATTAACGGACGTTCCAGGTTATTTCTTTTTTGAAAAACACTAAACACAAAAACAGTAGCATTTATTTGGGAACAAGCACAAAATTGCTATGTAAAACTTATCTGTAAAACGGAAGTGAATTTCCGTGGTACAAAATAAAGTCTAGCCTATATTATTCATCAATCTACAGCAATAATTGAAAGATTTTATCGTAAAAATGGGAATTTATACTGTGGAAATTAGAAATGTTTTTACGTTTTAACAGGCCATATTATTTACTATCGACTAATCGCCGTGTCTTCGACTTCTTGATTAGTCGAATTGTAAATGCTAAATAACGAGTAAAATCTCCTTTAAGTAAGACTCCACTCGTGATATGACACACGGCGCTTTCTGTCTCCCCATCCCTCGACCTTTAGTCACCAAAATTTAATAGCATCAATTTTCCTAATACACAAATCTTCCTGCAAAATTTCAGAAATTTTCGACAAAAAGCTCAGGAATTATTAAGCTTCAAAGTAGGTATAGAAAATCGTACTCCCCACATGCATCCATACGAACAGGTAAAATAGTACAAAAGTTCAAGAAAACTTTTGTCTTGTTTTACCTGTTCTTAAAAATTCTTGACATTTTATGTCCAAAATGTAAAAATCTTGGGAGTCTTTGTTTTTTAATCGATCGCCTCTGTTATATAGGGGAGACCTGGGCAAGATCGGCATGTTAAGCTTTACTTAAATTTTGTGTAATAAATACTGCTGTAAACTGAAAAAAAAGCTTTGCATATTGTCTATTGGAATGTTACCTTACTATAGAACTGGTTAAAATCAGTTTGGAAATAAAAATAATTAAAATAATTACAACTTTACAAGAAGAGAGAAATTGACGAAGTTGCCCCGNCGTCTAGATTGGGTGGATGGGTGGGGGCAACGGGCATTTTTACATCCCTCTAAAGTACGAAGGCGCTTTTTTTTTTTTTTTTGTTTTTTATCCCCTCGTCTAGCAATCGGAATAATCATAAATCGAATATTCTTACGGAATCGAAAAAGTTTGATGTGACCCCAAGGTAAGTAACCACAATCCGGAACGACAGATATACGGTTGCGTCTGACAGATATATTGGGACAGGTACAACCACCCAAGCAATTACGAGTCGGAGAGCCGGGCAAACGTTACCCCACCGCAGAACAAGAACAGGTACTAGAACATCGGCAACCGAACAACGGATCTGCTCGACTGGATAATCCAACAATATACTCATCGGTATGACGTCACGACGGAGGGGGCTCGAAGGGATCGATGAGTCAGAGACCCAGTCAGGCCGTCTACCTGAAAATGCGAGGGGAGAGCACGGTAATCTTATCAGGAATTAGGCCGGTGGTGACGTCATCTCAAGATTGCTATTGTAGATTTTTGTCCGAAAACGTTTAATTGTCAATCTAATCTATTCATAAAGTGTTAAGGGGGGAGAGAGTTGCTAGAGGAGATAATTAGAAGTTTGCTTTCCATTGTTTTAGTTTGCTAAACGAAACTGAAGAGAACGGGAGACACTTTTTAAAGGTGATAAACGGGACTCTTCGCGAGCCTTCGCATCGAATACTTTCAAAGCGGCGTATGGAATTCTTCCGATACCAAATACGACCCTATAACTTTATTTTATCCTTAAAATTTGATTAAAATAATAGATTTAAATATATTTCCATTCAGAAACTAATATTTATACCCTACAGATTATGTCTCTGATTGGCATTATTTCTGTATCAGTCACCTTCGCTTCTTCGTATCAGTCATCTTACCCCGACAAAGTTTGTGAGTATAAATATAAATACTATGATGCATTCTCGAACAAATTTCTGTAGCAAACTCAAAAAAAACTTAAAATTACTTTTATCGTCTTCATTGATTCAGATATTACGCTCTACGCTCTAGCTGTGGTTATCGAAGTATTGTTTTTCCTTATCAGTATAATCCTCCTGTATGGTATTAAAAAAGTTAGTTGTTGCTATATTCAACAGTTTCAGTTTTAAATTTCAATTTATTGAATATTTTAATAATATTGTTTTAAAGGAAAATCGTTTACTGATGATTCCGTGGATGGTGTGGATGATTATTAATATCGTTGGTCAATTTATTGGCGTCATTATCCTTGGCATAGTCGTAGTCCACATGGTGCGACCGGTAAGTTGTTTCATTCTTGTAACAAAGAAATGATTATGTCAGTAACTAAGAAATTGTTCAATGTTTCAGTTTATTTTAGTGTTCGTGGTAATACTTTTGTTAATGATCGGTTTAGACGTAAGTACATTTTTTAAAAAATGAATTATAATCTATTTGTTAAGAATTCAAGTCATAACAGTATAATCATGCATCATTAACATCTATAATTTATCATTTGTTATGACAGTAAAATAAATTATATTAAGGCTGATTGTAACTCTTTGATTATGCACGTGAAAAATTTATAGCTTTAAAATACAGTATAATGCTTTTTTCTATGGGAAAATCATTTAGCAAAAACTTCTCGAAAACGGAAGCAGATAGAACCAAACAGATTTTTGAGTTAGGGTCTTATTTAATTCTATTAACGTACTGTTTGGTTCAGAATTTTGAAAATCGAATTTGTTAATTTTGTGAGATGCGGAATTTATTAACTAAAATTTTAATTAATTCCCTTTCGTTTATGTAACGAATTAGAAAAAAAAAACCGATCTTAGCCGGGAATGTGTAAACCTTCCTGTCATAACTATCAACATCTATTGTTTTCTGCAGAACTTGCAGCTCATCTTGCAGAAAAGTTTATAGTTAGCATCCAAAATTCGTCACTTGTTTTAGGTCCCTGGAACACCTATAACCTTTAGCTCATGAACATCCGATCACGTGGTGGAAATTCCTCACAAAAAGCTATATAAGACGGTTCTTATCCCCCCTCTCGGGGAGTCTCTTAACGAAAGCGGGACCGACGACATCGCGCCGATTCTCCGAACCCGCCGAATTCCGATCTATGATCGTCGATAACAGATCATCGCCAAAGTCGCGAACTTTTTAAAATTGTGCTCGATTGGATTAAAACCCACCTTTTATTGGATCATTAAGTGCTTACACGGACTTACTCGTCTAGGAATCAAACAAAGAGATATGAAAAGCGTGTAAACTCTCTCTCGAGCTCTTTAGGCGGTTTAGAACAAGACTTGTGTAGTCTTTTTGTTAATTTTGCTTATTTTAATAAATTCTTGTTTTATACTTGTTGAAAATGGTAGACTCCTTGACTCGTAAACGCCCTTCACCTTATCGTCGACCCCAAGAAACTCTCCCTTCACTCGCCTGACTTGTCATCCTGACTAGTGACCCAAACCGGGAGACCTCTGACCTCCCCTGCAGTTCACAATTTTCTACAAATTTTCTACAATTCTAAATTTTCGTAGACAATTTTGCTGTAGATGCATGCATAACCAGTCACAATCAGTCTTAAAATAGGTTGTGTAATGAAATATTTACGACGTTTAGCTTTAATCTAGACATAATATAATTTATGGCATTTCTTTTATTTTCAGATAACTTGCTTCATTGTAGTCAATACTCACTACCAGTATTTAACATCTTCTTCGGGCGTAAAAAATGAAGTTCCACTGAGTTATCAGAAATTATTGATATCTTCCTCGTAATTTAGATATAACTATGCGTGTATATTTATCAGATTGCTTATCATAATGCTAAAAGTTGTTGAAATATGTTGAAAATATTCAGTTAATAATGCATGCTGAATTAGCCGTTTTTTTATTTCCTGCTTAACATTATTAATCTAATAAAATGATTATTATAAGCTTTTCAAAATATACTTAATCATTATTATTAAGAAGATAAACATAAATTTCGGTTTCATTCTTTGAAAGATATTCTGAATTCTAAAGATTCAACTGGATGCTATTTGAAAAGTCTTGATAGACTTTTATGAATATTGTTAAAATAAATGTTTTTTATACGCTTTTTATGAATTTTGTTTGTGTGTCTGTCTGTCTGACTGTTTGTAAGATAAAATATTGTTACTCAATTTTCACCCATTTCCTATTTAAATGCTAAACAAAGAAGAATTTCGATAATTCAGTGTTACATATGTAAAACTAAACAGTAGAAAATTCTAAAGTAACGCTTTTTATTTTCATAAATGCACTAAAAGGTAAAAAATAATAATAAGGTAAATAATTTCTCACAGTGTTATTGGTATTATGCGACGAAAAATAAAAGCATGGGAAGCCATAAAAATTGATAGAAAGCGTAACTAAGAATATTTCTAAACATGAACACCCTACGCTTTTATTTTTGATTGCATAATACCAATAATACTGTGAAAGCCGAAAAATATTATGTTTTACCTTTCAGTACATTTATGTGAATAAAAAGAGTTTCATTATTTTTTAGTTTTTTTATTTTACTTTAAAACTTGAACTTAAGTTTTGTTTTATTTACTGAACAAGAAACAGGATACGAATTTTAATTAATTAATTGAACTTGATAGATATAAGAAATCTCGATATACAGGCCTATATAAATAGTAACTTAACTAAACAAAAATATTTTATATAGTTTACACTTCAAATTTTTATTAGCATATTACCCAAATGGATTATTTATGGATCATTTTATTAGGACGCAGCGACTCAAATTGACAAATCTCTGAAACACGTCTTGCGAAGTAAGAATTCGACCGATTTTAAAGAAATTTTTCATATTAATAGAACTAATAAAATGAAGTGTCGTGATGAAAGCCGAATTTTAAAATTCGACCTAGAACGGGAGAAATCGGGGGTCAAAGGTGATCTCCATGTTAAGTCAATGGGAAAATTTCGTTCTTTTTTAAGCTCACCATCTTGCTTAAATAACTATTTAAACAAGGGCTCGTCATACACCAATGATAAGACTTTTAAATCGTTAAAGATATGAGAATGAAACTTCAAGATATAGTATTAAGAAACAAATTAAATAAAATTAAAGTATTTAAATACAAATAGTAGTATAGAACGTGGAAATAAAAAATTTATTATCGTTCAAAAACTTATCTAACTTTTCTGAACGAGAATTTTACATTGAGGGCTAAAACCCATAAAAATCCGATTGAATATAGACACTTATAAAGCCGAAAACAAACAAAAATGTCCTAATTATCGTAAAGAAATACACAAAACAATTGCTGTTTTTTTTTTTTTTTTGCTTAAGAGTCTATTAGGCTAAGCGGAAAAAGTCAAAAAGTTTCATTTGTATTTTAAAAATTTAAATGATTCATTATTTAGTTAACGATATAAAAAATATGATATCATTTGTATGAATCAGAATCATTGCCAGAAGTAACTTATTATATTGATTTCCACATCATTATTTCCTGGCAATTTTCTTGAAATGTTAAATAAAAAAATTTAAACTAATTTGTTGGTGTTATATACATCATCGTGTTATAAACCAATAAAATTACATTAAAGCTAGGTCTTCTTTTTGTCTATTTTCGTAAGTTTATCGAATTTACTTTCAACTTTCGTGTTTCTGCCAAATTTTAGTCAGTTCTCTTGTTAAAATGACAAGTAGCCCTTTCTCTACGATGAATAAAAGATAAAAATCACGAGTTGCGTAAATTTCCCGGCTGTTAAGATTTAATTTAAAAAATAACTTTTATATTATTAATCAACTTACTAATAAATAAAATTGTGTATGGCGCCATCTCTTATGAATTTTTACTATAAAAAATGTTTTATATTATTAATTATTATAAAATGACATAAAGCTTAAAATTTGACGTTAGAGACGAGTTTTATAAAAGATTGTAAATGTTAGTAAGGAATAAAATATTCATTAAATCCTACTCCTCTCGAGATACGACACGACATCCCTCTATCTCCTCACCCCTTTGACCTTTAACCACCAAAATTTAATAGCATCAATACCATTTGGCATGCTATCTATATGCTTAAACACAGATTACAATGCCAAATTTCATTTCTTTATCATTACCCTATCCTGAGATATTTAACGAAATAAACGCCAACACGCACATACATATGAACGAAGTAAAGTTTAGGGATTTCGAAGATTATTGTGATAGATTTAATTCATTTATTGAAGCGGAGCGTTAGCGAACCTTCAATACTAACTCCAACATGCCCGCAAAAGTAACTGACTCCGAATCGTTTAATTATAAATAAATAATTATTTACTTCGATATATAAAGTGAACAAGATCTGATCAAACAGTATCCCACCTTATTTTTTTCTTTTTAAGTATTTGCAAGGTTGGGAGGAGACTATGTCGTTTTGTGAGCTTGGACACTACTGCATGTTTGTGAATTTTGGCGAGCCCGTCCAACCCTACGGGTAGCCGTGATTGTTGTATAAATACGCTGTTATCTGGCATTAGTAATTTAGCGGAACATGATGAATCATGATTTTATGAAGATTATAACCAGAGATAAGACCTGGTCTACAGGTAATACCTTGAGACAAAAGCACAATCATTTCAGTGGAAAACGCCATGATCTCCATGCCCAAAGAAGGCACGGCAATCACGCAGCAATGCAAAGCTCATGTTGACCGTTTTTTCCAGGGCTGTGGAGTCGGAGTCGGAGTCGGAGTCGTGGAGTTTTAGCCGGAGTCGGAGTCGGATGATAAGGAAAAGTCGGAGTCGGAGTCGGAGTCGGTAGATTTTTACGCCACTCCACAGCCCTGGCAGGACTGTGGAGTCGGAGTCGGAGTTGTGGAGTTTTGGTGTTTTAGCCGGAGTCGGATTGGTAAGGAAAAGTCGGAGTCGGTAGATTTTTACGCGACTCCACAGCCCTGGTTTTTTCCGACCACCAGCGCGTAGTTTTTCTTGAGTACGCCTCTCATGGAAAAATTGTGATAAAAGAGTACTACCTGACTGTTTTACGTCACCTAAGAGATGCTGTTATGTGCAAGTGTACACATTTCTGACAGTCTGGCGACTAGTTCAATCATCATGACAATTCTCCGGCCTACAGATCGTATATCTTCCAGACATTACTTGCAAAACACGATATTACACCGGTTCAGCAGGCTCCTTACTCTCCAGACACGGCTCTGGCTTTTTTAATACGAAGGTATGGTAAAGCTTTTTACTAAGTTCTTTAGCCATTTTTAAAATAATGTTGTTGCTGTCTATTTTGATTTGATTTGTAAATAAGATAGTTTGCTTTTCTGTTGGACAACTGTATAATACTGGTAAAACTGATAAAATATGATGTTATTTAAATATTAACCGAAAAGGTTAAATTAAACAAGTAAAACGGCAAAACCGTATTTGGGACACGACTATGTCTCGGAGACAATACTAAGCAGAATCACTTTGACGCTCAAGGCGGGTCTCGTTCTCATTTCATCATTCGGGTCTTCTTTGGTATCGCTGCTTTTCGGCGCGATCGTTCAAACTTCGCCGGCCACGACCACAATTTCATCCACGATGCATTTTTGATGAAATTAACCTACCCAATTTCGAAATTTCTCTCCGTTGCAACCCGTCGGCCCGGGTTGAATTTTTGTCGATGTCTAACGAGAATTTCCCGTTTTTGAAAAAAATAATCGTGGCTATTGTATCGTCCGAAATTATTTTTTTATTTTGCACAAACAATATACAGTTTAACCCGATTATAACGTCATCGGATGTAACGACAACCCTAATATAATGTCAAATTTTTATCGGTTTCACGATTTTACTATACTAGATAATGTTAAAAAACCTACTTGTAACGACATAAAACCCTGTTTTAATGTCATATTTGAAGCACTCCTAAATTTACAAAATTAGATTACAAATTTTATTCAACAAAGAAAATACTACGTGTTCAGTCCTAGGGTCACAGTCCAGTTCCTAGAACGACTGTGGGTGGTACTCTCACCACCTGACTTCGGTTTGCCTGTTTGTAGAGAGAGTCGCCATTTTGTATTTTACTTTGACTCGGTTCTCGGTCCTCTGAGTAGGCTACCTACAAGTCTGGTTTTTTTATGCGCGCATGATTTTGGCACTTAATACTCTGTGCCATATTGCAACTCCTGACATGTACTCTTTCATACCTCTAAGCTGGTAACACAGCAGGCAGTACGATTTTATAAACAAGACACAGTCTTGTTGAAAATTAATATTTTAAGGTAATATTTATTTTGTATAACAACTTTTGTTAGACATTTAATAAAATAAATTTCAATTTTTTAAATTTATAAACAAACTGTTCAAACTTTTCTAGAAAAACTAAAATTTATTGTTGTGTATTAAATATTTTTTATTAATAAAAATTTAATATTTGTTTTAGTTTTTCACATTATTTAGTTTTGTTTTATTTATTGTTTTATATTTTTTGTGTGCTCTATTTCTTGTGAACGAGGGGGCCTGGTAAGAAGAAAATGTCTAGGGCCCCAAAGTGGGTTAATCCGGCCCTGCTTAAGAAGTAGTTAAATAATTAAGAGATTAAGGAATTAGGAACATAATAAAACCCTGCTGAAAGAGTTGGAATATTACTTAAAAGCTTAACCGACCCAATCTCTAGCCGAGTACAGTGTGGACTGATTTCTTCATAATATTAGACGTAATATAAACAGAAATTTTTCCAGTTCAACGAGAGTGACCGAAAAGTTGTAAATTTTGGAAATTTCCGTGGACACCTGGTCCTAAAAAGAATTAGTTAGAAAACAAATAACTATTAACTTTAACATATGTAGATTTTTACAGCTATGGTGAGAAACATTTAAAATTTACAACCCCGTCGCGTCCTTTGAGACATGCTATTGATGCGAGAAAAGAGGCATTTGACATTGACAGGTATGGGCACCCTCGGGATTTGGCAGCCCGCGTGCATGCACGCATCGCATACCTAGCAGGACCGTCTCTGATTTCACTCGTAGGGAGCTATTTGACTAAGTGGTTAAGATTTAAAAAGTAAAGAAGATATTACGTTATTTTTATGTACGTTTCTTTACAATGCTATATTTAATTATAATTTTCT